TGACCAGAGACACTGCATTTGGGAAGAGAATTAAATTCGACCGTATTGATTTCGACGCATAAAACCACGCCACGATTTATGTCGACGGAACGACGAATTTAATGGAATTAAATTCGTCTGAATTAAATTCGACTGTAGCGCGACGTATAAACTAGGCCTTAGATGTCATGGTACTAGAAGCTTGATATCATTTTCCATTGGCAAGAAAAGTATGCCTTTGAAATGAATCAGCCCTTTTCACCCAGCCTCACATGACCTATCTCATGCTAAAATCATGGAATACCACCTTAAAAGTACCAGAGATGGAGAGCTCACAGAACAAAAAGTAGGTCTGCCCATTGTTAGGTTACCGGTATACACTCTCAACAGTGCAATTTCATGGTGATTTGAAAAATGTGTACCCGTTATTGGAAAAAGTTACTGGACTGCAATCATAAGAGCCCTTTTAATTTTACACACATTCACCTATAAAATCTTGGTCTTTTGTGTCGGTCACCTCAAAAATAGCCTTCTAGCTACTAACTTTCTCATGCTCTCTTTGTAACCTATTCTTTTTGCACTAAGCAGATCACATAATTACAAGCTTTAAATGGTCTATTTCATGGGGATAACTTGGTCTAAGTGCATCACATTTTCCTTGTGTATTTCAGAGAATCTTAAAAGGTTAAAGGTTCTTTTTCCGAGCATGGAGGACAGTAAATTGTTTGCTGCCCTTGAAACTTTCTCTGGAGATGTAAATGAAGTAGCAGACTTCCTCCTACAAGAAAGAGGTTGGTATGGTCTACTCTTACTAATTCTGTCTGCTTGTAGCAGTGCATACCAGTAAATCACAACATAATCATAATAGTAACTATATGCGTTGTTATTATTATTAATTAATATTATTATTTTTTTCGTCAATATAATGAATTATTAACTTGATTTTCCTGATTGATTTTGATTGACACTAGCTTATGTAATTAAGCCACGTGAATAGTTCAGTTTTCAGTTCAGATACTTAAGACTCGAAGATACGTACAGGTTCTGCTAACCTGTCTTGCTGACCCGTGTTCTGTTATACCCTGACCTGTTTCATCTGTTGCTGACCTGTACGTAGCTATACGCCGTGAAACAATCCTACTAGACATCGTCATAGAAGTAAGTTCTCAGTGCTGTAATTCTATCTAATAGTTTTACTCGTGTGTTTATGAATCGATGGATGCTGTTCAATTTCTCAAATGTATCTAGTTCTTTTCTTTAGATCGAATAATAATATATTGGAATAGATTACACGATTTGCGTAGCCTAGTTGGATTGCCTGTTTGGTTTTGTTGGACCATTATTATTATCATCATTATGTGATCTACTTGTATAATATAATGACAATACAATAATTAATAGCAGGACCTCTGCTGGGATCTCTGGAGAGACTGCGTTAGGTATGTGTTGCAACTATGGTGATATTTAATTGAAATGTTCTTTATGGCAGTTGAGGAACATCTATTAAAAATGTCTCAATATCAGTTCAGAAGAATAGTACAGGGGATATAATTTTGCATACTGAAAAAGTAATTGCTATATGAAATTCACATCAGTTTTACAGGTGTTTACTGAAATAAGACAAAGGCAAGTGGTATGATTGTCACTATAATAGGTACTGACCTGCTTCTGTTGCATTTCAATACAACCATTCACTCAACATGAATTTGAAACTTGTTCAACTGATTTTCTGCTGATTCTTTCCCTTTAACTTACCATTTTCAGTTATCCCCTCCACCAATAGTGCTGATATAGATGACAAAGCTCTTGTGGAAAGTCCATTTCTCCCAAAGACTGTACATGTGCCAGATGGTATGACAGTTTTATTTACACCAATCTTGTTACACTAATTTTGGGGTTTATTTTTCTGTCCTTATATATGTTTTGTGGTACTTACCTTAATATTCAGAACTGTCCACTTGCATGTGGTGGGAGTTATTTTAACAAAACTGACATCAGATTAAGAGAATATAGTGTCTGGCATTTTTTGATAGGGGGGTCGGTGTAGCATAACTGGGTCTTTGCCACCCTTTTATGAATTTTCTTGTCTGCTGCTGGTGTCCAGGTTATTTTATATTCCTATAGTGCTATGAAATATTTTCTTATAACACATTTGCTCATGAACCACATGTACTTCCCAAGTGAATCCATGTCTCTTGTTCTGCTTGTAATGTCACCAGGTTTAATGCCAAAAAAAGACTCTGACATTTAACTTGTGCAGAGGGAATAGATCTCTCAGACTATACCTAAATGTGCACAATTTAGGCAAATAAGAGAAACGTTTTTGCAAATATTGCATTGAAAATACAGTTCCAATGCTACTTTGACAAAGGTATACTGCAGATACATGCAATACAATTTAATTTTTATGAAAATTGTTTTCCTTCAGGCCTGTCAGCTATCGAATTTTAAAGATCTTTAAGGAAGATGTGATTACTGATGGTCCATCCATGCCCATTACTTTTAACCACTCGAAGAATCCTTTTCGAGAGCTTTGCAGGATTTATAAGAACAGTGCCAACAAACTCGTTAGACCACCAGTGGTCTATTTTGTCTCAGAAAGTGGTAAAGAGGATTTATTGGAAGAAGAGGCGGCTGATATTGGGGGACCATTAAGGGAGTTCTTCACCATTGCTTTAGAATCACTTTCAAAAGAAACAGCTCCTCAACTATTTGAAGGTGATGATGACCACAAACTCCCCGTCCATAGTCAGCAGCTGGTACTTTGTGGATATTTCAAAATGATGGGAGAAATTGTGGCTCATGCCATTATTTATGATGAAGTGTGGTTTGCTGGTCTGGCAAGGGCAGTCAAAGTGTATTTGTCCACTGGCTGCACTGAAACTGCCGCTCAAGTGGTGTGTACAGAAGATGTTCCTGATTTGAATGTCCGGAAAGTGCTGCAACGCATGTCCCAAGTTGATGAAGATGAAGTTGCCTTCTTGAATAGTGAAGATATAGTCTCTAATCTTCTGAATGAAAGTGGAGTTAGTGCCTCTTTTGTTACCATTAATAATGCAGCCCAAGTTGCATATGAGATTATGGTACACCAAGTTATCCACAAGAGGTAAAGGGAATTAGACGAGATCAGGAAAGGACTCAATGTTTTGCATATTGGAACTTTGCTAATGGATCATCCTAAAGTTACTTCCCTGGTTTTCCCAACAGTGGATGAAGTTGCAGTCCATCTTCATGTCTTGTTAGCAAGGGTGAAAAAAGACCCCACATCTTGCCAAAGTGGAAAGAGTGACACAGCATTTGGATATTTTCATGAATATCTTCAAAACGTTTGTAAGAGTAAAGAAGGTAGGTAGCTTAATAGTTGGGATATTCATTTTTGGTACTCTTTCCTTTATGGGTTGTGATACTGTTGTTATGTTTAACTCATTAAACCCTTATATTACCCCAATGAAAATAGTTTGTTAACAATCAAAACTCTTTTTGTTGATCATTTCCTTTGTTAGATTATGTCATAGAGTAGTGATTTGTATATAGGAGAAATAAGATGCTGAGTGCTAGGGTCAAGATCAAATTCAAGGAAAGAAATTCAAACATTAAATTCAAGTTATTTATGCTGCAATTTTTAGGGACTGAAATCAAATCTATATTGGCCTTTATCACTGGAACACCCCTCATGCCCAAAGAAGTAATTGTTGGATTTTTACTAGATGATAAAGGTCATTCATTGCCTGATCCCGACACCTGTGCTTGTTCATTGAAGATACCAACATGCTTTTCCACATATGGCCAATTTGAGGCAGCATTTGATGCAACAGTCCGTATTCAAGGGAAAGAATATGGACGAGCTTAAAGGGTGTACCTGTAGTCATTTAATAGAGAATAGGTGTTTAGCATTTTACCGTAATAACCTACGGTGATTTGCAAGTTCCTTCTAGTTGTGTTATGGTTACTGTTTTTATGGGTTACCCTACCACATGGGTTACCCTACCACATGGTTAATTTACTTAATTGGGACCGCTCAGCAAAAAAAAGTCAGAAAAAACTGTCTTCCAATCCCATAGCATTGATTAAATGTTTTTTTGAGTCTGAAGTATCATTCCAACTGTCATAAACTGTTTATATCTGTTAAAGCAAAAGTGCTACCAAGCAGCTTTGATTTTGCCGAAGGGGGCATGTTCTATTTTGGTGCATCTGAGTGCAGGAATCATTAGTGCTAATATAAAGTAAATGGAACTTGATAAAATCATTGTGCCTTTGCTACTTAGTGGTGGGTTCTACAGCCATTGTTAAACACCTGTGAAGGTCATCATGCACTCTTAAATGCACTTGCTACAACACCAACTCATGTTAACATTTTTAAAGCTTAAAAGAATTACTAATAACTTTTTCTTGTAACTGTTCAATTCAGTATTGACTGTAATTACAGTATTTTTTCATTCTAATAGGGAAAAAATGTTGTAATGTTTTGATATTTGAAAATACTGTATCAGAGAGAGAGAGCATGAAATAGCGAAGATGAGAGTATTATAAATTGAACTGCTGTTAATTACTCAAGCGCTACGTTACCTGGCCATGGCAATAAAAATATTTTGACTTTGTTTACAAGTATATGTGGTCAAACAGTTTGCCAGAATAATGTTTTTCATAAAATCCATGCTGGGGTAAAACCAGAATTTAGTTGTCTCTCCTATCTATTTGAAACCAGAAAACAAAGGAAATTTGATAGGTATAGTTGTTGGGACAGTTCAACTTTTTAAACTTACACTGCAAGTTAGATAGTTGTTTTATAGTTGTACACATAAACGACTTTCGGCACCCTTTCCTTCTTTCAAACTTCACTGGGGCTCTTATGATAGCATTAATCTGCATAAGTAAAACAGCTGTCGAGGAGGCTAGAACAAGCTTATTGGTTATTTTAATTACAATGAAAGTACCTTAGTCATTGTGACATAGTAAATGAAAGTTATTGTTAATGGAAAAAGAAAAATGGTTGCAGTAATTGTTACTTTGCATTTTTCCGGCTATTGCACATCTCCATCACTCAAACGTTGTTTTAATAGGTATACAACTTCCATGTAGATGTCTACTCCGCAGTATTGTGAATCTCTTAAAGGGTCAATAATTCTTTGCATCTGTTCCACCTCCTGTTGACAGAAAGGAAACTGTGTTGATGGCACTTCAACGTTGTTACTATTTTCTTCATGTGAACCATCCCATTCCTGAGTTGGGAGCGTACCATCCCAATCAATTCCATAGTCGTCAAGGGAAACCTGTCAATGATAAGATGATATCACAATAATTAACATGCTTCTAATTTGAAATGTAGTGTGTCGTGTTTAAGTGTTTCCAGAAAATGCCGTTTCCAGCTACGCAAGCTGTTTCTTCAATCCCGCTGTCTGGCTAAAAAGATCGCAAACCACCCAAAACTTCACAAGTCGAACACCGCGTTTCATATCAAACTTTGGGTTGGGATTTTGCTAACAATGGCACGATTTTTTAATCCTTTTATGGGCATTGTCATTGTTGACAGCTTTGAGGCTCTTTTGTTATAAGAACAAAGGTTTGAAAGAACCGACGCGTATCCGATTTCCGAGCGCGAGATTCAAAAACTTCGTTAATGACCTGAATGTGACAAAATCTTTCTTTCTCGGGGTGGGCTTAGGGAGAAGTTGTCTAGAGCAACGGCAAACTTGCCGGCGGACGGAAGGGTAAATTTGTTACATGGAGAGCGGGCTGTCGGCTGTGTTAAGTTCTCTCCTTTTTCCCGCAAATAAACGCAAAATTTCGAGGTAGAGAAAGGACGACAGTTTGTATCTTAAAATACGAATGGAATATGCCACACAACTATCGTAAAAGAAATCGAAACTGAAGCGAAGGTACAAGTATTTTTAATTATTTTTGCTGGCCTGTTGTAATGCGCGCCAAACAAGTTGCGAGAAAGCTGTCTGTCTCAAGCGAAGAATTAAAAAGCGTCATAACCAATTATATTTGAAATATCTACTGTTAGAGCGGTTTATTGTCATAATAAAACCCCTTTCAGTGCATCAAGACCTTGAAAGTATTCAAAGCTTTTTAAACGCTTTCATAGTATTGTGTATTGTCTTATGGGCTTTGTCGCGAATTTGATCGTCAACAAACCATTAATTAATTTTTTTTCTTTCCGTGAAGAAGCGCGCTTGCTTGAAGAAGCGGCTGGGCAGCCTTGAAAGGTTCTAATATAGACTTTTATTCAGATTGTTGTGGGAATCACTGTGCGAATTGCCTATGTATACAATTAAACAAACTTTGTTTCCGTCCCGAAACATCTTTGAAAGCGTCTTTGAAATTCGCGCTCAGTTGACATCAATTGTTCTCTAGTTTTCATGAATGCCCTTATTATGCTAATGACGGGTTTTAAAACTGATGCGCGTGCCACTTGCAATTGACAACAATCATTCCGCTCTCGTCATTGGAAAAGAGTTATCTGAAAATAGTCATCGGAAAAGATCGGTTTAGAGTTGTTTAAAGTCTTAAAATGTTTTCGAAGTTCAAAGTAGAAAAGCCGCAAGCAAACAGGACGTCAGCACGTCCTCTACAAACGTGACCCAAGGCATTTCATTTCATTTCATTTTTTCATTAACATCTTTGAAAGCGTCTTTGAAATTCGCGCTCAGTTGACATCAATTGTTCTCTAGTTTTCATGAATGCCCTTATTATGCTAATGACGGGTTTTAAAACTGACGCGCGTGCCACTTGCAATTGACAACAATCATTTCGCTCTCGTCATTGGAAAAGAGTTATCTGAAAATAGTCATCGGAAAAGATCGGTTTAAAGTTGTTTAAAGTCTTAAAATGTTTTCGAAGTTCAAAGTAGACAAGCCGCAAGCAAACGTCCTCTACAAACGTGGCCCAAGGCATTTCGAGGTAGAGCAGTCTGTCCTCTCTTTGCCCCTTCTCTTGAGGCGTACGACCAACGCATTCGCCATTTGCACGAAATCGTCAGTGACCAGGCGACGGAATTGGCAGAAAGAAGGGCAGAAGTTTTTCAGCTTCGCCAGGAACTCCAGCTTCTAAGAAATGAGCTTGCCCAAAGTCGTCACCCTGTAAAGAACGCTGTGAAGTTTAACGTTAGCCGAAAAAACTATTGGGACGTAGATAAGTCTTCGCGGTCTATGAAGAGGAAAAAAATCAGAGAGTACCTCCGAAATGCCACAGATATTTTACCAGCGGAATTCAAACCGATTGAAGTACGTATCATTAAGAATTTTTCTTTATCACTAAGTTTTTAGGGGTGGTGAATGGTCTTTGAAGGTCTCGCAAAAATTTGGTCAAATTTTGCGGGTCTCGCAATGTATTTTTTTCGGCGGTTCTGAACGTCTCGCAGTCTCATATCTTTAAGCTTACTTGATCATGCTGGGGACAAAATCGCAAATCAAAGGTTGAAAACAGTCTCGATCTAAGAGAAAAACGTTGCATTCACCATTCGTCACCCCTAGTTTCACATTGGTCAATCTTTTTATTAAGACCTCATGCGTCTAATGGCTCAACGAGAACGGATGATAAATCTTTTCATTAACAATGTTTATTCAGTGTCATAAGCAATCTGTGTGATAGCGCTGAAATATTATAAGCCAGTCGAAAAATTTACTGTTTATTTTTCTGAAATATATACTCTTCATTGAACATGCATAGTGTAGGCAGGTGCTAAGTACCTTTAGGGACTTACCAGGGCTTACTGCAAATAGATACCGACTTCTGGTTATTTTAAGGCAAAATTTATTTTAGCTGTATCGCAAAAAAATTTTTGGACGTGACGTATGTAGTGTGCCCACGGTATGACTTTTAGAAGAAACCGCTGAAAACATGGCGGCATCTCGGTACACGTACTGACAACAAAACGGCGCTGTATATTTCTAACTGGATGGTTAAAAACGTCGGAAAAAACACTTGGATTTCTGCTCGCCACCACTTATTTCTTCTTTTTTTGTGTTGATTATAATAACGTAGCCCGTAAGTGCGTGAGGCATGGGCAGTGGCACAAGGTGAAATTTTGAGAGTTTTAATACTCAAGTTTCACGACTTTTACCTTTCGTTTTTCCTTTAGTCTTTGGTTAAATTCTGTCACCTTTTCAAGTTCTTCTAAAGTTAATGTTTTGTATTCATTTATAAATTTAACTATTTTAGACTCCTTCATAGCATAGAAATAGCATATTTCCTCTTCTCCCATTTTTTTCCCTTTTTCTTTCTACGTGTGCATTTGTGCTTAGGTTTTCTTGCTGACCTGTAATTTTATTCTATTTAATGCTGATGTCATCTGGCTGCCTGGCTCTGCTAGCCCCCATGGTTATTCCAGGTAGCCAGTACTCTAATTTTTACTTTTAATATTTTCATTGTTGTAATTTATTTATTTTTGAGCAAGAGTGAGTACAATAAAGATTGATTGATCTGGGTATGCCTTGGGTGGTTGTATTCAAGCCTTCATGTACTTTAATTTACCTTAACTTTGTGCTCACTGAGTATAGCTTATGGCTAAAAGGGTGAAAAGTATATATGCTTCAATAATTTTAATACAAACTTGATCTCTGAATTCATCTGCTATCCTTTGTGAAGCATTGGACAGTATTCCTCTGATCCACAACTGCTTAGGAGATCGATTGCGCTCCGTGCTAATTGGACTTCTATTATGCCCATCTGTGAAGAGTGATAAATGCCTGTTGATTCGAGGCACAAACACATAGTGCAATGCTGCTAGATGAAGTTCATTTGCATTGTCAAGTATGCCACACTCCTCCATGTGACAGAAGATGTTGTAAAAGAGATAGGTACATCCAGTGAACAAGTCCTTCCAAAGCCTCTCGATCCTCTGGTTGTGCACACTTCTGCCCGCGATGTGGCTGCCCCTATCACGACCTCGCAATGGATGCGTTAGCATGTACCATGCTACGTCAACATTTTCCATTCCTTTATCGGAACGTACGCGAGATGGGAGACCATACTTTGCAACACCTGCTTCAAAAAGTTCTAGGACAGTACTAGCTCTGTTATTTGTTGAGCAATGAAGGTATACTATCAACCTCGAAAAGCCATCAATACCTCCGTGTATAACCATTCTCCACCTGTAAATAGCAGAATTTGTTGGAATAACCCTTTTATCATCGGTAGTTTTAAGGAGCTACAAGAATATTTACAACTTTGTCATTTAAGAAAACAATCAAGGAAAAGAAAACCTGTCACCTCTTTTAGGAGCTGAATAAAATGCTTTAAACTTGGAACGAAGAAATTCAGTCGAATGTGGGCAAATGATCGCTAATGAAAACAAGCCGTGAACCTTAAAGAACTTAGTTTTGGGCCGTTTTCTTTATGCAACAACCATTTATTATTTGTTTTTGTGTGTTGTTGAAACGTTACCACTTACATGAACCAGTTGCAAGTTGATATTCAGCATACCTAATCAGTTTATGGTTCCCGTCGATGTGCCACAGGGAGAGGGGACCTTGAACTTGGTAACTTCTTCTGCGTACAACATTTAATTCTAATTCATTCATTTAATTCGAAGTAGGACGCCTTCCGGGTTTACTCTGCGAATTAACTCTCTAATCCTGGCTTATTGTACACGTAAACCACGCCCAAGAAGAAGACCAGTCATTCTTTTGCATCCAACTTTAGGGACTTCTCTCATGATCTCAGTGACGGTTGCATCTAGGTCGCTGTCTGACAATTGTGCGTAGGTTGTTCTGATAGACAGCCCAAACTCTGCCAAACGTCTTTTCACTGTACTGGGGCCTGCAACAAAAAGCTGCGCAATTTCGGCAACTTTAAATCCCTTTTCGACAATAAATTCTAACTGTGCACGTGGTATTTCAAATCTAGGTCTACCTCTCCCGCCGTTAAAAATTAGAACCGCTCGGCTGAGTGTGCCTGAGTATTGAATAATGCACTAGTCAGTGGAAAGCCCCGCACCCCCATACCCGGGGAATGCGGGTCATTAGCGGGGGATTTTAGCGGTTTTTAGTGGTCATCTTTGCCCCAGTGTGCGGGGTGTTCGACAACATTAGACGCAAATAACAGCGACCGGGGACCGTTAGCGGGGCTAGCGGGGCTTTGGCGGGGATTTCGCTTTTGAATAGGCCTGCAAAGAACACTGGGAAAGCGTATGATCTCAAAATGGCGGCCGCCAACAAGAAGGTATGTACGATTTAAAATCCATTCTTTTCATGCTTGTAATGGGCCATCGATTAAATTCTGTGTTCAATCTCTAAATATTATCATGTCTTGTAGTGAAATTAGAAAAAGTTGGGTATTGTTTATGCCCTCGTCATGCTTGATTAGCGATTTATTTAGAGCGTTGACCTTTTGTCTTTTGGCATTTGTTTTCATTTCCGTTGCAACTGTGCAAACCGAGCCAATGGGCGTTTTTTATTTGTTGTTTTAAGTAACTGTATTTGTTTTTTCATTGAAATATGTTTCTATAATGTGCTCAGCGTGTCAATTTACTTTTAACTCTTGTGTTGGATCGGATCGATTTTCAGTTTTCCGTCACACCTTTTAGTTATAAACATCAGTTCAGTATATTTATATTAAAGGCAGACGGTGTAACTTAATGGAATAATACAGTATATTTTAGCTTTTAGGCGCTCCATTGTGTAGAACTCAGTCATTCATCTGGTGAGAATGTTTAGTAATATAGGTACGGCCACATGTGTATATGAATATAAGCTTATATTTGCTAGTCATTAATCGATTTTGATCTTAAAGCTTATTGAAGGCTTTAACCTTGTGTTTTAAGTGGCAATGAAATTTTTGTTTTTCAAAGGTTTTATTTCAATATAAGGACAGCAGGTAGGCAGTAGACATTTGTGAAACTGAGGGTGTCATTATGAAAATCAAGGATTATTACAAACTCAGCAGCACTGCCGCTGTGGTTTTACAGAAATATTCAGAGACTTGGTCTGACTGGATCGACATTAAAGTTGAAGATATCTGTGACAAGGACAAAATTAATGTAATTGTGCTGGAGCAGAACACTGACAGTGAGAAGTCCATTGACAAAACTCAAGTATCAAATATCCAGGTAATTGCACATGATTGATATGAGTCCAGTTCCAGTTTATAGATCCGTGTGTTGTCCATACTGTAACAAGTTTAGTACCTTGTGGCTTTAACTTTTGAGGTTAAAAGTCTGTTTTGTTTTGTTGCCAGATGCTAGGAGTTTGTCTATTTCAATGTTTCAATGTGTTATTTTATAGTAAAAAGACAAGTGGGATTTAATAAGAGGATAAAGGAGTTTATAGACCATAGTAAGTTATTTTGTTAAAATGATTATTTCACTATTCACTTGCTGCTGTCTTGGCTGTAAAACTTAGCAGTGATATTGAATGTAATAAGTCTTGTAGAAAAATAATCATAACATTTCATTGATTGAAATATTTATACAAAAGATGTTTTCTTTTTTGGCAGGTGGAAGAACAGACAGGATGCAGAGATGTTTCGCATGGTATGATAAAGCCGTTTTAATGGCCTCAGGCATGAGAGAAAATTATTTTAAGGTTTTTGAGAAGATGTCGTGGTCTGTTGCAGTATGTTTCTGTGTGATTTACAAGTTTTCTTTAATTCAGAACTTTAAAAAGTGACCAATTTTTCAAGATTGAATCCATTTCCATCCTTGGCTTGACATCCATAATAGGAGACGATGGTAAATAGTTTCAGACTGCAGTCTTTACCAAGAAATCTAAACCTTTGTTTTGGTGTCCTGTTGATGCATTGACATCTTTGAGCTATTTATTGAAAGCGATACTCAAAAAATTGTGACAGTACCTTTCAAGTCAATAGCAGATGCTTGATCAAGGAAATGTCATTTACCTCTCTGCTAAGTTTTCTTCTCAACCTTTTTAGCACATTTACAGGAATTCTATACTTCACTTTTACCGCTTCATGGTGCTTGTATTTACTCATGATAGAGATGCCATGCATTGAGTTTTATTTTATATGACACTGGACTCTGTCTCATTAAACATCTTGTGCACAGCACATAATTTTCAACTACATATTTTATTGACATATACAATTTTAGTGCCACCTTCCTTTTTCATAGAGGCTGGGAAACTAAGAGTTTGATGACTTTGTCAATATTTTTTGCAGCCCAAAACATAATCAATTATGCACCAAGGTCAGGACAAACCACGTTAGTATTTAATGATGGAGGACTCGCAGTTGGCCCTCGGGTAAAAGTGAGTATAAACAGGGTCGTCTTTATAAGTAAAGCTTGTTAACTAAAAAAATTGTAGACTGAAACTAGTCACCATCATTGAATCATTTAGTGATTCACATTGTCATGCGCTTTGCAAATTATCCCTTCATAATCAGACCAATTATGGGTAAAATTTTCACAGATGTTTCTGTTTTTTCCTGATTGTAGTTCCCTGAGCAACAAACCAAAGAGATAATTAACGCCGAAATTGATTTAAATCAACTAAGAATGCAGTCAGCTATTTACTCTTTGGATCCTGGTGATAAACTAAAAGATTACCACAAGGCCATCAATGATGCTTGCTTTGAGATAACAAAATAAAATCCAAGTCTTGTTCATGATAAAAAAAATCTTCAAAAGTATTGCAAAATATTGCAAAAGTGGATGCCGATGGTTATGCATACAAAAGGAAAAAATCAAGATCAAAGGCACTAATGACAACCGATGTTGAATTGAACACTACCAAAGCAAAGAACATTACTCAAGAAGTTAGGACAAAACGCATGAACGAGGTAATGGAAGACCTTAAAGAGGTTGATTTACAAATGAGCCTCTACGAGAAGCAGCGATCAAGACAAACTAACGTTCAACAGTATTCTCAGGCAATAATCTTAACCGAGCACATGGCTGAATTGCGACAAAAAAAGAGGAAACTTCAAAATGAACTAACTGATTTACAGTGTAAAGATGCCAAATCAGTGAGATACAGAGAGCACAAGGCAAAGAAAACTGGAGCCAACTGTAGTTCATCTTCAATAGGTCAAGGTGCAACAATTGATGTCATGCTCAAAAGAAAAGCATGCGGCCCTGTAGCCATTGTTGGTGCTACCGACGGTAATAATGAAGGTGTGGACACAAAGAAACAAAAAGTTGCCATAGAAGATCCACACAACACAGAAACAAGTCTTAATATTGAGGGCAATTGGTCAAGTGACAAAGGGGAATGTACTGTTGACAAATCCACCAAAGAAAGTGCAGTGTCGGAGAAGTCTTCTGAAGATGATCCTTTTTTATAGACTTTGCAGCGCCTTCTGTAGACTTTGATGCATACAGAAGATACGCTGCATCCGTAAAACGTAACTTGAGTAACAAAGATTCCTACAAAGTTGGCGAGGGTCTGTACAGGTCGTTGATAAATGATGTTTCACTTCTTGAGTTCACATCTCTCTGCTTGTTTTTCTGTGGGGCAAACCATAGGAATTGTCAAGAGTGTCGAAAACTTTTGAATTGTGCTAATGACATTTTACACTATGGTGTAATAGACGTTAAAACTGTTTATTGTAAACACTTCCCTGAAACGAAGTACATTAGTAACAAGGCCGTCCGCAGATTAATGCAATTGCCTGTGGCAGTTTTTACTCTTACCCTTCAAGGGCCTGGCTCACAACGACTTTTCGTGACTGAGAACAAACCATATGTGGACTTTTTGTTATTTGTTTTGTGGTTTCCTAAGGTTATCCCAACTGATCAAATCAAGAAAGGCGTGACCAGAGATCAACTCCAAGCAATTTGTTCCCTTGCTTCTTCTGAGAAAGACAGAAAACTTATTAGGTTTGCCGCATGCAAAGCACAAGGTCTTAGTAACAAAAAAGCCAGAAAGGAATATGGAATCCACTGTCTAGGCAAGCTTAATGAAGAAGTAGAAGATGCTCTTTCTCAAGCAGAAGAACTAAGAAAAGCTGTAAATACACTTGCAAACGTGGAAGAAAAGGCAACTCTTCAAGCACTTGGAATTAATGTTGAAGACTCGGAATGTTCCGATGAAGAAAGTGAAGGCGAATGCATTATGCAAGAATCCTCTGGAGATGAAAATGAGGGCGATGGCCTTATGGAAGCAAGCAAGGTTCAGAGAAAAACAGACT